GTTGTTGTTGTTGTTGTTGTTGTTGTTGTTGTTGTTGTTGTTGTTGTTGTTGTTGTTGTTGTTGTTGTTGTTGTTGCTGCTGCTGCTGCTGCTGCTGTCGGTTGGCTCGAGGCCGCTGCGCACGGCCGAGACGAATTGTCTGTTGCGGACGTTGCGATTTTTGCGTAGCCAGGGGTCGAGGCCTTCGATGAGGTAGATGATGGTGTCGTTGGGGAAGTGCCGCTTCATGCGCAGGACGTGCGATTCTAGGCTGGCGCTTTCATCGCCAAAAACGAGTTCCACGAACTGGGCGGCGGGAACGATGACCATGGCGTAGTTTTCCCGCTCAATCCGCTCTGGGATGGGCTCCCAATGGCCCAGATCGTCGTTGTACCGGGAGCGGACCTTGCGGCGCCATTTGACCACGTTCTCGACAGGGCTTAGCCAGGTGGTGGAGTGGACGTCAAGATCCCGGAGAAGAGTTTCTGTTTGTAACTTGACGTTCTGGTCCAGGGCGGCGGGAAGGTCGGCAATCATCTCTGGGGTTGACACCTTCTTGTCCGTCCTAATCTTGTTCACCTCGGCCAGGGCTGTGGCTCTGGCCTTTTCCTGAATCCTCTCCTCTTTGGCACGCTCTTTCTCTAACCGCTTGCGCTCCTTTTCCGCTTCTCGCGCGACGGCCTTTTTTTCTCTTTCTTTTGCCCTATCGACCTCACTCTTCTTGGGCTCGGCCGGGTTTGCCTTTGCCCCCGCCGACTTTGGCTTCCTTGGTGCTTTAGTAGCGGCCGTCACGGCAGGAAGTTCGGGCAGCGATGAGAACCTTGGTTTTGAGGTGGCCAAGTTGGTAATGTCAGGGAAATCGTCGTCGGAATCCGGGTGCGCTCTGCAGTCGTTGTCGGAATTATCTAGGGCGATCACCTCTGACTGAGTTCTTCGGAGGGACCGCGGTGGGTGCTCCAACTCGTCATCAACTGCGGCCGGGGGCGGAGCGGAGCTGGAGATTGGATCCCATGCTGCTGCAGTTGCAGCCGGCTTCGCTGGACCGCGAGCAAGTCCTGGAGAACTGGAAGCAAACGGGTCGATGTCATCAATGGCTAGCCGCGTGGAGTTCTTCGTTGGTCTCGGTTGTTTCAGATGCAAAGAAGAACTAGCAATGGGGTTGCCACCAAGAAATATGGAGGGCAGGGTCGTGGGCTGCTTGTCAGTCCTTGGTAGTGATTGTTCGGTTGCCCGTGGTGAGGAACTCGCAAACGGATCGTCGTCCAGCCAATTCATCCGAGACTGACCGGTGTTTCTAGGGTGCTCAGCTGTCGAGTTGGTTCGACTGAGCTTGAATGATTGAAGCAGTTCCGGCCCAGAGCCAGCAACAGAGACGATGGCGGGTGGTGGCACGATTGTTGGATTGCTTATAGTTTGGGCATGGGACTCCAACCGGCGTTTCTTTGGAGCAGGGCCATCAATCGATGTTCCTTCTGCTTGACGGGTATTCCCCGGAGGCCCGGGCGCTTCATCGTCCGAAATGAGCCAAATATCATCAGCTACATTTGAGGCGTTTCGTGCACTGATTGAGCCTGTCGATTTTGTGTGTTTTCTCCCGAGATAGGGCCCAGTGAGACCGTCCAGATCCAATCCTCTGGCTTGCGCTGTGTTGATGCATCGCGGCGATGATGGCTGTCTCGTTCTTTGTGGCGGCGAAGACCCGGCCTCGGAGCTCGAGAGGAGCGAGATCACTTCCACGCCCATTGTGATCCAGTCGGCCGATTCCTCGTCAGTGAAACATCTGAGGCCTACTTTCTTGATCAAGTAGCAATGGCTCTCCAAGCCAGTTCAATCACTCTCTTGAGGAGCAGGCGGTCGTTTGGGCAACCATTTCAATGGGACGCGACAGAAGGCGCGAAACCAACACAGCTTCACGTGACCTCTTTCGCCGTTGCAGATCGAGGGATTCGAGGCTGTATACATCACAGTGTGAAATGTACACTATTCGCGCAACTTACCAGTACGGCCAATGAACGAGGAATCATCCACGCCCCACCTTATGATCAAAGTTGATCGCTTCTTGTCAATGGCCTTTCCAACAACTTTGTATGCATGTGGAATCCAGAGACAATCCTCGAGAGAGAAGCTGCTTGCTAAGTTATGCGAGGGATTGTGACGAGAATTAGAATGGCCCGATAGCCCGGGGTTGTCGGCCAATGCCCTGCAAGAAGCAGGAGAAACAAACGTCGCATAAAGGTCAGGGCGTGCATCTCGCTCAGCTGTGTCATGCAGCAAGGTTGCTTCGAGCCCTACGACTTGCCCTCCCACACTGCAGAGCTCAGACGACAAGACGGGATGGCTTACAGTGTTACCGGTAGTAGGAGGCTTTGCCCTGCGATCGACTCTAAAACCTGGAAGCTTGTGTGTGCGACGATCCCCCCGCTGCTGCTCCCATCTCAGGGAAATGGTTTGTAGCCATGGTCAGTCTTCGACATGTATGCCGTTGGTGTGTGTATGAAATCACTTCTGAGACTTCTGGCTTGCCGAATACCAAGGGTGTCAAGTATCCGAGACTTGGCTGCGAGATGGTGTCGGCAATCCACGTGCTTGAAGAAGCAGTTCCAGGTTGTGGTCCAAGACGGGGAAGGGTCCGGTCTGAAGAAGGAGCGCGGTGTGCTGCGCACTGGCCGCTAATCCCAATTGGGCATTCCATCCATCCCAAATGCTTCGACCAAGAACCTGTGCGAAACATGCATGCATGGGCCGACCCCCAACTCCACATGCGATCTCGTTGCCCAGTGGTGTTTGCAGCAGGAGCTTCCTCCCAATTGCACGACAACGGTGTGCAGACTTTCCTTTTGCGTTGCATTTTCTTTTTCCTTCTTTTCCCCCTTTTTCACGGTCCAACACTCCGTTTTGCTTGAGAAAACCAAGCTTCATTGGCCTGTCCTTTGCAGTTGCTGTCCACTTTGACTGTTTGGCATATTGCCGGCGGCGGAGAACCTGACTGCCCGGCTAATAAGCGAAGCCCAGGCCAACGAAGCAACAATTGAAAGCTGCCTTTACTGCACATTCTAGAGAAAATCTGACGTTGTTGGCCTCGATAAATTTTGTCGGCAGTTTGGGCCTTTTGGTTGACGGTTCGTTGTTCCCAATCGACGCCTTAGCGCTTCAGGGGACGCGTTTGTAATTTGCGGCACCCCGGTCGGCGCAATCAAATAAACAAGGGGTTCTCCCCAAAAGCCCCCGGGCAAAAGAAGAAGCCTTTCCCCAGAAAAATACCCACGGTCGAGACAGGACAAACCGACTCCTTGAAGAGACATATGGCGCCCCTGGTATTCTGAAGCATAAGCGCTCTTTGCAGGTCGTTGCTGCTTGGAATATTGTGCCTGTGGCATCCCTGAATCAGCAGCGGTTCGTCCGATCAGCCAGCCGCTCGCGGCTGCACAACGATCAGCCCTGCGCAGCACACCATCCGTCAGGGGAATTGACGGACAAATAGCGAGTGGTCCAGTCCCACAACGCCGGTTCAAGTCGACCGATCGAGGACCCCTTTAACAAGGTTCACCGCCCGCTTCCCAGCCGCCGACATGGCGAGCTCACCACCAGCGTCGCCAGGCCCAGGTACACTGCCTCCGCGGCCATTGAGCGCCATGGTCCGCCCGGCGCCCAGGAGCGACAGCCGCATGAGCGTGCACAGCAAAACCGGCGGAAGAGGAAGCAGGGCTTCGGATGAGGATACAAAGACCGCCGTCAAAGTCGGTGAGTACTCGTCTAACACCCCGCCGGCATCTTGCAGGCGGCGCGTGTCGCTGCTCCTCGGACAGCTGCATTCTGACATTTTTGGTTTCTTGGTTTCTAGCCGTTCGCGTCCGCCCGCCATTGCAACCTACGGACCCAGGTTACGAGCTCATACCCCAGCGATTCCAGCGATCTATGGTCCATGTCCAATCGCCGACAAGCTTGGCCATCGACTCTCCTCAGGGACGCAAGCTGTTTGTCTTTGACAGGGTGTTTGCGCCCGACGTCGACCAGGCTGGGATATGGGACTACCTCGAGGAGTGCGTCAGCGCCTTTACCCAAGGATACAATGTTTCGCTTCTCGCCTACGGCCAGTCTGGCGCCGGCAAGTCGTACACGATGGGAACATCGGGTCCTGCTGAGCAAGATGACCCTGAAGCCATGGGTAAGTGCTACGGGCTTCCGAGCTGCCGTGCACCCTGCTGACTGTTGGCCCCAGGCGTTATCCCGCGCGCTGC